CATGAAGTATTCTTATAGTAGTAAATTTTTTAAAGTTAAGATTTCCAAGCACATGTTCTCCATCTCAACATATCATACCTCTGTACCTTTTCATGGGGCCTTCAACTACCACCAGTGTGATTCAAATGTCTACCTAACTTGTGTGAGTAAGATGTCCCAAAGATGCCAGGAGGCTAGCTACATCGAGTTAAATAAGACAAGAACTGCACAGCTATATGGAGTTAAATAAGACAAGAACTGCATGGATACATATGTCTAACATCTATGATAGTCATGCTTAGCTGCATGGTACGTGATTTTGAGCCTGTTCGATGTGAACGACTAACCTTTGGCTCATACTCCCTCCGTCCGAAAATACTTGTCATCAAAATGAATAAAAATGGATGTATCTAAAACTAAAATACGTCTAGATACATCCCCTTTTGTTCATTTTGATGACAAGTATTTCCGGACGGAGGGAGTATTATTCTTAGGTGCTTGATTTTTATATCATCCATGGGGCAAGCTAGCCTTGCTAGTTTCAGGCTTTCAGTTACATATATTTCAGACTTGCATGTATACTATGTGTGCATATGCTGGGTATATGTATTTATGACTGATTTCGGAAAAACTAAAACTTGTAAAGAGTAACACACATATGTTAAGTACGATGTACAACATACATAACTTAACGGCAAATAACAACAATGAAACACATTTCAGCTTAGAAGTGATACTAGTTCACCTTATGATCGTTTCAAAGATCACCCATAGTGTTCAACTAATATAATCAATTAATACTTGAATGGACTAATTGGCTCAAAAGTTGCAGCAGAAAAGTATGTCACGGAAGAACAAAAAAGGAGAGGGGTAAAATACATGATGCAGCATTGCAGTATATTTCAAAATGATAAATAATATCCATTCATAGAAGCTAACCTTGCACCGAGAGAAAAGCTGGTGATGATCATAGTCAAAATAGTTTGAGCTGCTTCCAAACCCTATCATCTCGTTTTGGTCGAACTTTGCCTGCCCTAGCCTTGCTTCACTCTCCTTTCCCAATAAACCAACATAACACCCTCTTATCATCTTCACCTCCCTTCCCACAACCACTTCAAATCCTGTATACTCCTTAAGAAATGCTTCCGCCATAACCCTAGGGATCAACCTACAAACCCCTGCCACCCTCTTTACCCCTCTCACCACCTCAAGTCCTTCCCTCCCCACATCCTCTAGGAAATACTTGGGCAAAGTAGCCCGCGCAACCCTAACCACCTTCTCCTCCCTTAACCCCACGAAGCACACGATGACCATGATCTTTGTTTCTACTTCTTGAGGCAGGCAACATAGCAAAGGGTAGAGGCATAGTAGGATGAAGCCTCTTAGGAAACTACCTGCCTCTATTGCAATAAGCATGAAATAAGGGAAGGTAGATGTAGACCTCAGGAGACCTCCTTCAACATCTAGGACTAGAGTTTTGTTCCGGAGGTGTTCATTATCTTGTGGCACTCGCAAACATGTCTGGATGATCTTAGGACAGGTAGATATGCCGCTCGAGCTTTGAAGGTGATGGTACTGGCCTAGCGGATTCCCTAACCTTCGGCGAAGTAAGCGGTAGAAGGCAAGGAGGGATTTGGAGAAGGGCTTTAAAACCATGTGTGCGCCTTGAACCCCAAAGAATTATGCCTCCTGTGTTGGTTCAATCTAGTTTATTTGATGCAGGTTGCAAGGTGCAACTTAAGAGGTGCCATATATATATGCAGCTAAAGCTTAGGTGTTTAGATAGTGAAATGATTGTATACAATTATTGCAAGAAAAACAATATTTGATCCCAAATTAGGTCACAAGCTCTGACTTGGCTTAACACTCTTAATTTTGTTGCTTGACAGCACTGTCAAAATGAACCAGGATTACTTGAGCTTTACACAGAAGTTAAGGACATTGATTTGCCGACGATAGTAAGCGTAAATATGTGTGATCACCACCCACCCTGTTTAGGATAAGAAAAGGTATGAATCTGTTGACTAAGATTTTTCACCGGAAAGCCACATGTTAAGGTCACTCTCTTTGTGTATAGTCGTGTATGATATGACGTATCTCTATATATACTTCGAGTGCCTAGAGAATTATAACTTTTGACCTAGCTCTTTTCCGTATTTTGCGCCGCGTCATTGGTTCATCGTGCATGAGTGTTTGCTATTGATGTGATTTGACCTCACGGCCCGTACGTAATATATACCTTTGTATATAAAACAAGTAGTTTGGCATGCTCACAAATCGCAGGATCTAACAGTGGTCAATGCATGTCTTTGTTCTGGTAGAATTGCAGGTGAGGTTATCCAAAAATAAATGAAAAAGCAATATATTTGGTGCAGGCTTGATGTGTCTCCATTGTTTCAAGCCTGCAAGAAAGCTAGCTGAGGACGACCTCTCACCTAAAAGCTATAGCAATGGAGGTACGTACGTAACGTACCTGCTGGCCATTGATTGGATAATAATATTACCTGTCTGTTTGCTTTTAACTTCACATGGGTTCATAAAGTAATTTGACAAATTTTTTTTGCCAAAGCAGAGTTAAAATATGGATTGCATACATTTTCTCTACCATCGGTCACTCTCAATAGTGTATAGAGACTAGAAATCTATATTGGAAGTCCTACCCCGAAGGATTTTCGTTAAATGGTTTGGCTGAAAGTGTTACATGGATCTTTGCTGTTGGTACTCCCTCCGTTTCGAATTATAAGATGTTCTAACTTTTCTGAATCAAATGTATATAGATGCTTTTTACTGTGTTTGTTCATTCATTTCAGTAGGTACTTAGTCTATATTGAAATATTCAAACATCTTATAATTTGAAATGGGGGAGGTATTTCACTACAAATTCTTCAAGGCGCATGAATTACGTTGTTCTGTAAGAAGCGGTGCTGTTCCTAGAGGAATCTTGTAGCAAGCGATCAGCGTGCGCACCTACCAGATCTGCTGTTGCGTCATTGTGTGCCGGTGCCGGTGCTAGGGTTGCAGTCACTTTTGGGGTCAAATGCATGATTGCGTACAAAGCTCTGTTTCGTCTTCCACATTGTACGAATTTATTTATACTTTTTTTTGCGGATGACGAATTTATTTATACTTGTGTTATGCTTTACTAGAAAACTTTGGTCACTGGGTGGGTGGTGCCGAGGTGTGGCCAGTGAAGCTCGGTATAAAAAAATAGCCCCAGAAATAAAATCCGCCATAATTTTCATTTTTCCTGCTATTCTTTACTATTATCTACTCCCTCCGTTCCTAAATATAAGCCTTTTTAGAGGTTTCAATACGAAGTACATGCAGAGCAAAATGAGTATACATTTTAAAATATGTCTATATACATCCGCATGTAGTCCATATTGAAATCTCTAAAAAGACTTATGGGAGTTAGTACGTCCGTCTTACCTCCTTCCTCAGTTTTTCCCTCCACATCCCTGGGGCCGCCGGAACGTGTCTGGTGCACCGGGGAAATTAGTGCTACCGGTGCATCGTACCCTGTTGCACATTAAAAAATGTTTAAAAAAATCTGGAAAAAATCAGTGCATTGACGTAACATCAATGTATGTTTTCACAAAAATTCAAATTAAAGATCGAAACATTGCTCGAGATACAAAAATGACAAATTTGACATTAATATGATAATGGGCCAAAACTAAAGCCCAACTTGTGTTATGTACTCCCTCCGTCCGGAAATACTTGTCCTCGAAATGGTTGTATCTAGACTTATTTTAATTATAGATACATCCATTTTATCCATTTCTAGGACAAGTATTTCCGGAGGGAGGGAGTAATATTTAGTGTCAAATTTGTCATTTTTGTGTCTCGAGCTATCTACCAAATTTTGATTTGAATTTTTGTGACAACATACGTTTATGTTGTGTTAATACACTAATTTTTTCCGGATATTTTCAAACATTCTTAATTGTGCAACGGGGATCGGTGCACTGGTAACACCAATTGCCCCGATGCACCCGATACACCCCCTGGTTTTTTTGTTGTTGTTTTTTTACATCTCATGCGATGCCACAAAAAATAGAAAGCATTGTACGTAGAGTAACCTGGAATAATCTAAACCAAACCAGTACTTCCTTAGAAGCAGAAGCACATCCTGCATTAACTTTCCTTGCCTTCCTTATCCATACACAAGAAAAATGGTTAAAAGGTAAAATAACATCATATTCAGATTCTACACATTTTTCTAATCAAATTCTATATATAGCACGTTAAAATCGGAGTTAGAGAGATATAAATATATTTTTAAAGCATTTGATATGGACTATGGGTTGATTAACCCAAATATAGGGGGGTTTCTGCAAAAGCAAAACGTTTTCTGGATTTACTTAAAGCTGGACTGCGAGTTGACTTCAAGAAACAACAAGGGGTTTTCTGCACATAAAGAAACGTTTTTTTTTGACTCACTTAAACTTGGTTAGTTGTTTTTGCAAAAAAGCACGACAGACGTGCAACATCTTTCCTCTGTTTATTAGTAGGTAAAATATAGATAGGTAAAGATATAAGGCCTATTACATATTTGAGATTTAATTTCACCAATTTATGAGATGTATGCCATAGAAAAAAATACGATTGAAAACACCTTCCAAATACTAATTCGAGGGTAAACTTTTTTCTAACATACACATCATATATTGGTCTAATCAATGGTTAAAGTAAATCATGAAATGTGTATTAGTCCCTTCACATTGAATGAAGGGGGTACGTTGTATCGACGTCTATCGTTTCTTTATGATCTATGCAATTTGCTTTAGAGGGTGTGCACTAAAGCAAAACTTTTATACATATGCAAATTCTCAATGAGGCCAGATGAAAGGCAAAACAATTAAATCAAATTCAAGCTTTCTTACGTGCCATGTTGCAAAATGTACCCATAGATAAGAACAATTAGCAAAATGGGAAATAAAATGTGATACACGAGCCTAAATTATTTCTTAATAAAATTAAATTGTGTTACAAACTAAACTTCATGACTTTGACCAGCACTATGAACAAAACTGGGTTCTATAATGGCTTCTGGGTAACGGCCCCATCCAACATGGCATGTATGGGAAAGAACATTCAATCTCGTTCCTCCCCATTTTAATATGACCCAAATCCCGAACCGTTGAAGTGTTCATATGGTAGGCCATTACATGGCCGGTCGATTCAAACAGGGCAATCTCTTTGTAAGGATGAAATCCAAGAAAATCAATTGTTGAGTTAGAACCGTACTTGACAACCCAATCTTCAGCGCTAACCACGTTATCATTGTTTGGGTCCCATTCAGAGTTGTCTTCGACTAGCTCTTCGTTATTGTCGCTTCCTTGTAAGATCCATGGTCCCCGAACAAAGTTACGAGGGCATTTTGAAACATGCTCAAAGTTGATGTCATTGTTCAATACCCATTCCATCTTTCCATCCGTTTCGTTAAGGAACCATACCTGGAATGCATCACGTGCAACACGGAACGCACAATAGACACCCTTCTTGGATTTGCCGAGGCGAGGTGCATAAGACTCTAGCTTCTTTCCTTGAGGGCACTGAATTACTTGGTATTTATCATTTGACAAGTTCATTCTGCAAAATGTGGGATCATCATTAGAACATCTGGAATGCAATTGCTTTGTGGAAGAAAAATGAAGAATCCGATCACATATAAGGTGTCAAAATATATATACCTCAAAACAAAATTGTCTTCGCAAGAGACGTAGAGTGCTCCATGCCAGTAAGCAGCATAACGCAGTATGCGTCTTTCTTTCGACCTGCACTCGGCGACCGTTCCCGCGGCCTTCCCCTCCCGAACAAACGACCTCTGCTTCCACTCGCCGGCCCGTGACGAGAAGACATTCACGATGTACGGCGAAGGCGGCCACTCCATCTCGGACACCGGCTTATCCATGCACGCATGCTTGGAAATGTGTCCCGTTGGGAGGTTCCATGGTATGTCCGGGACCGAGAGCACCTCGTAGTGTTGCGACACCGTTGGATCAAACACGAGGTAGGGACTGCTCATGCAGAGAAAGCAGCACCGGCGTGGCGCTGTAGGCAATTCCACCCACTGTAGCGTGGCAGGATTAACCACGTAGTCACAAAGCAGGAGGAGGAGGCCGTTGCAGCAGTCCTGCACACCGCACTCGTAGATGCAGGGGGTGTCCGGGTAGCCAAGGCTGGCGGCGATCCGGCGCGCCGTGGTGCGGCGTGAGAAGAGCGCGGGCATGGGGTGCTCCATCCGCTCGAGGGGCAGGTCCGGGTCGCGCAACTCGAGGAAGACGCCGTCGAGCGAGAGCGGGAGAAGGTCCGTGCGCCATTCCTTGCGGACGCAGCGGCACGCCGCGAGGCTGCGGGGAGAGAGGCGGCGGAGGACGTCCAGGAGCATGTCCTCGGGTAGCTGCCCGGTCATGTCCATGTCGATCGATACGACGAAGGCCGGCCGGCGTCGGGTACGAGGCTTGGGATTCTGTAGTATGTACCTGGCTATATCTGCTTACTCCTCGTTATATTATGACGATGACGTGCAGGCCGAGCCGGACAAGACTCCCTGTCCGAGTGGAGCGCGGCTGCACGTAGACATGGCGCGTCGCCGTGTTACGCTCCCTCAGCTCGTCAATAGGAACGTTATTTTCTACTTCCTCCGTCCTATAACATAAAATATTTTTTCAGCATTAGTGTAGTTTAAAAAGCATCTTACATTATGAGACGGAGAGAGTAAATTGCTAAGCTTACAGGCTGCAGATTATACAAGGACGCCAAATAGAGTTGACGTCCCATAGAGCCATGTCTCACCCGTATGGATTCTTAAGAGCAATCTCGCTTATTACCGCAACTTTAGCCGATCCCCCATAGCCGATTAGAGGGGTGAAAATTCTAGTTTACTTCTTTAAACTGGAACTAGCTGAACTCGCATAACCGTTAGGTGAGTTACTTCAAGTGGCTGCGAGGAGTAAATATACTTTTCTCTCGGTCACCAAGTAAATTTTCCCACACCCACGCGCCTCAGTCCTCACCTCACCAACCAGCGAAAAAGACAAATAAAAAACAAAAGAAAACCAGGAAAACACAAAGAAACATAAAAATAGGAAGAAAAAAATAAGAAAATCGGTGAAAAATACAAAGAAAAAACTAGAAAAGAAAACCAGAAAACACCTTGAAAACCCATACGGAAGCTTCCAAACCAGCGTGGAAGGTTCCTAGAACGTTTCCCTCACAGAACACTTTCACGGTTTTGTGATGAGCCGGTCCATCTTATTCTACATAGCAGGGGAGCGCAACGATGAGTATCGCAGGAGGCGATACATATCAATCGCGGTCCCCGCATTGCGGGATGGGGGAGGCTAGCAAAGAGGTACCCCGTTTCTTATGGGTCAGCCTAGTGCGGGGGTGTGAGACCTTTTTTTCCTTGTTTATTTTTCTTTTTTATTTTCTAAAATTTTCTTTTTATCTTCCGTTTTTAACAAAATTCAATTTTTTTTCAAATCAGAAAAAAAATATTTGCAAAATATAAAAAATGTACTCCCTCCATCCAAAATATAACGTGCCCACATTTCTCGAATTTCAACTTTGACCATAAATTTAAGCAACGAGACCGACTGCGGCGGGAGCAAAATTTATACCAGTGAATTTGTATACAAAAGAAGTTTTCAATTATATAACTTTTGCTCCTGCCGCCGTCGGTCTCGTTGCTTAAATTTATGGTCAAAGTTGAAACATGAAAATCAAGGACGCACTATATTTTGGAATGGATGGACTATGAAAATTTTAAAATATTCATGAAACCAAAAATTTGACATTGCTCGAAGGTCGAAAAGTTTGACATTGCTCGAGATACAAAAACGACAAATTTGACATTAATATGCTAATGGGCCAAAATTGAAGCCCAACTTGTGTTATGTACTCCCTCCGTCCGGAAATACTTGTCCTCAAAATGGTTGTATCTAGACTTATTTTAGTTATAGATACATTCATTTTATCCATTTCTAGGACAAGTATTTCCGGAGGGAGGGAGTACTATTTAGTGTCAAATTTGTCAATTTTGTGTCTCGAGCTATGTACCAAATTCTGATTTGAATTTTTGTGAGAACATACGTTTATGTTGTGTTAATGCACTAATTTTTTCTCGATATTTTCAAACATTTTTAAATGTGCAATGGGGGACCGGTGCACTGGTAACACCAATTGTCCCGATGCACCCGATACACCCCCTGGTTTTTGTTGTTATTTTTTAAATCTCATGTGATGCCACAAAAAATAGAAAGCATTGTACACAGAGTAACCTGGAATAATCTAAACCAAACCAGTACTTCCTTAGAAGCAGAAGCACATCCTGCATTAACTTTCCTTGCCTTCCTTATCCATACACAAGAAAAATGGTTAAAAGGTAAAATAACATCATATTCAGATTCTACACATTTTTCTAATCAAATTCTATATGTAGCATTAAAATTGGAGTTAGAGAGATATAAATATTTTTTAAAGCATTTGATATGGACTACGGGTTGATTAACCCAAATATAGGGGGGTTTCTACAAAAGCAAAACGTTTTCTGGATTTACTTAAAGCTGGATTGTGACTTGACTTCAAGAAACAACAAGGGGTTTTCTGCACATAAAGAAACGTTTTTTTGGACTCACTTAAACCTGGTTAGTTGTTTTTGCAAAAAAGCACGATAAACGTGCAACAACTTTCCTCCGTTTATTAGTAGGTAAAATATAGATTAGGTAAAGATATAAGGCCTATTACATATTTGAGATTTAATTTCACCTATTTATGAGATGTATGCCACAGAAAAAATACGATTGAAAACACCTTCCAAATACTAATTCGAGGGTAAACTTTTTCTTAACATACACATCATATATTGGTCTAATCAATGGTTAAAGTAAATCATGAAATGTGTATTGGGCCCTTCACATTGAATGAAGGGGGTACATTGTATCGACGTCTGTTGTTTCTTTATGATCTATGCAATTTGCTTTAGAGGGTGTGCACTAAAGCAAAACTTTTATACATATGTGAATTCTCAATGAGGCCAGATGAAAAGGCAAAACATTAAATCAAATTCAAGCACTACTAAAGATCTATTGATGTATGACATAAGCTTTGAGTTTGACTCAGTGGCAAACAAGAGGAAGATGTTTGACTATTTAGATATTGAAAACTTTGAAACTCAAAGAGAGAATGATATGCAAAATAAAAGCAAACAAGCAGACACTGGAAAATGCATGAGTCTGGGAAGTTTGGGATTGAAATAGTATGAGCAGGTGGTCTTGAAACCTAAGGAAATTTGTCAAAGAAGTGAAGCATATAAAGAGATAGTGGAGGCAGGGGCAACAACAGAGATACAAGAGAGAGAAGAAAACCTGATAAAAAGGCTACAAAAAGCAGAAGAACTTGCTGCTAGGCAGACTGCACAACTGATGCTGGAAGAGAAAAGGAGGAAGGAAATGGAAATCATAAGGAAAACCCTTGAGAATGAGGTCAAGAGACAACATGAACTTCTGCAGATTAATTTGAAAGGGGTTGAGGAAGTGAAAGGGTCTCAGTCTGGAGAAAAAATCATTGATGAGGGAGAGGGAGATGAAGCTATTGAAGAAGATATGGTGGTTGAGGACAAACAGGAGGAGGGAGGAGAGATGACAGAGCAAGAACTGATGGAACAAGCCATTGGGCTGGGATATGTGGAGCCAGTGGATTACACTGCTAGTCAGGAGAAAGAGTCTTTTGAGACTAAGATAAAAAAAGCTGGAAAGGGAGAAATTGATCTTAAAGATGAAGAGGAGGAGCTGAGAAGATGCATTAGATTAAAAGGAAAAGAAGACTACAATATTACAGAACTAGCCAAGGAAAGGGCAGCAAAAAAAGACAACTATGGTGAGTTACCTTGTACTGGGAGTTCTCCTAAAACTGATAGTTTTCTTCAAAAAATTGCTGAGGGGGTAGGGGTCAATTTAGGGAATAACCCTGATATGATTAAACACAATTTAGAATTGATAAAAAATGTGGAGCAGGCTATAATTGACTTGTGGTTGTCTGATTTTAATAAAAATCATAAGCAGATTGTCCTGTCTGAGGAAAATGAGATCATTGACACTGGGGAACATACCCTGGAAGATTTATTAGATAAGGGGGAACATGATGAGGATAAAAAAGGAGACGATGATTGGGAAATAGTTAGAGAACTTTTCTCATCAAAAAAAGGGAGGAAAAAAAAGGTAAAACCACCAGAGGTTCTCGGGTTAAAACTGCCTCTGCTGTGAAATTTCTAGAATCATCTATTAAGAAAAAGAAAAAAAAGAAAATGAGAGGTATATTTTGGAATATGAGAGGTTTTGGGGGAGATATTAAAAAGAGATTCCATAGAGAAATGATTATGGATATGAAAGTGGATTTCCTGGGGCTACAAGAGACCATGAGACAACAATTTTCTAGAAATGATTTACAAAAAAATTGTGCTGGTAGAGACTTCCACTGGCATTTTACTCCAGCTAGGGGGAAATCTGGTGGACTTCTACTAGGAGTTAATTACACTACTCTAGATGTTATTCACAGGATGAAGGAGATTACCATATCAAAATGACTGTGCAGGATCTGAAAACTAGGTTTATTTGGGACCTAGTGGTGATATATGGAGATGCTCAACCAGAAGGAAAAGCTAAATTCCTGGTTGAGCTTTCTAGAATCTTCCAAACTAGTGTCAACCCCATTTTGATTGGAGGGGATTTAAATATTATTAGAAAAGCCAGTGAAAAAATAACCCAGGTACTCCTGGACACTAGAGCTTTTTGTTTAATGCTATTCTGGAACATGCTGGAGTTAGGGAACTTGAGATGAATGGAAGAGAATTTACATGGGGAAATTTTGCCTATCCCCACCTTTGAAAAGTTAGGTAGAATTATGTATAGCACAGAGTGGGAGGAGGTATACCCTTTGACCCAAATTACAGCTTTAACCAGAGAAAAATCTGATCACACTCCACTTTTCTTGGATTTTGGTGACATCCAGAAATCTGACCCCTTTTTCATATTTGAAAATTCTTGGTTCTTGACAGAAGAGATTGATAAGATCATCCATGATGTTTGGAATGACATGAGTGCTACTGGTGACATCATTGACAGACTATTAGGTAAATTAAGATTACTTAGGCCTAAACTTAAAGGCTAGAATAGAAATATGATTGCTCGGTACATAGAGTTGAAAAAAGATATTTTGCTTAAGTTAGATTTAATTGATAAACACTATGAAAAAAATGGGCTTACTGTTGCTGATAGAAAAGAGCAAATGGAACTCAGAGCACAACTTGATAGGCTTCTACAGCAGGAAGAAGCTAAATGGAAACAAAGAGCTAAGGTAGATGAAATTTTTGAGGGGGACAGTAACACAAAATTCTTCCATGCCAAGGCTTGGGAGACT